TGGATGGATGGATGGATATTGTCCTTTTTAGTGCCAGTTGTCACTCTCACCTGATTGTCATGACTAACCACCAAGTGCTGCCACCTTCCTCAAACACTCTGTCTTTATTTAAATCATTTTGATCACCACCCCGACAGCGGCTCATTATTCTGAAAAGCTCTCAGTCCTCCTCGTGCCTCCCTGTGTCTCACACTCAGTTTTCGCTGTAAGTTGCTGCTGCCAAGTCAACCTTTTGTTTCAATGTAGTTAAAAATAAAAAAGCTTTATTTTTACTTTGAGTTCTGAGTCTGCCTGTATCTGGGTCCAACCTAACCGACCGCGACAACTGGTGTAATTTAAAAGGAACATCTATAAAGAATTAAATTGAATTTCTCCGTTTTAAGCCGTTCTTTTTATGTTGGATCCCAGAAAGGACAACCAGACAGACCGACCTCCTTCAGCAACATAAAATATGAATGAGTTTGAGGTCTGGCAACCTCATCACAACAAATACGTCTGTCTGGGTGGCTTTTATTCTTCCCCTTCTCCCTCTTTTCTCTCATTTGTTCTTTTTGTTTTCTTGACACCCACATGTGCTCTACAACCCTTAACTGCTACTTCTCTAACCTTCCCTTCACCCTAAACATGTCTTCAAGATGTAATAACTGACACACGGGGCATGATTTCAACCCCCCGTGCTCAAGGCCTTACGGTGTGAACAGATTTAGTTCTTCTGTGACATGAGACTCCCTCTGCCACACTTACTGTATTGTGTTTATACGGCCTTACAGTGCAGTCTGCAGCAGGAAGGAGGTAGACGGTGGTTCTGTGTGTTATTTTGGGCAGAACTGAAACGTGGGAGTACCAAGCTCACGAGAGGGAGGCAAAAAGATGACCGCACTGACGCAACACACACCAAATTTTCTGACTTCTGTTTTCTTCTACTCACACTTTGCATATTGTTGAATTTTTTTTATTTTTTCTCTGTGTGTGTGTGCTTTCCTGCCTCCAGTTTCACATCTGGAGGCCATTACCTCTGGGCTGGGATGGGGGTGTGGGAGGCGAGAGAGGCGGTGGGGGGAGGAGGTTGGGTTTCTGTGCAGTGAGGTCATCGCGTCGTTGTGGCGATGCAGAGGAACAATGATGCTGTTGTGTCTAATGACAACCAACCAGCATGGCCAATGCCAGAACGAGGGGCTTGAAGAGGGGAGAGAGCAGACGTCAAGAGGAGGACAAGTAAAACCAACGTTAAAGGCAGAAAACGTGGAAAAAAAGAGGAAAAGAAATGGAAACTTTTGCACACGAATGAGTCAGGAAGTTCCCAGCACAAAAGCAGAATGATCAGCCAGTTTACTGATTTAAACGATGACATTTCTTGTCAAGCAAAGACTCCTAAACCTATCAGACTTTAATAATGGCAGCCATATGGTAACTGGTCTTCATCCAGGAAAGTTGCGAAATCTGACAATATGTCATCATCACAAACTTGTTTTGATTAAATTTACAAGAACAAGATGAAAAACGTGTCTTGTACTTGACCAGCTCCTAACAAACTCAGAAGTGAATGTATCAATTCTGGTTGCATATTTTATTTATTATTTTGTTTGCACATTCAGAATACAAGTGTCAAGATAGTGAGCCTCTGAAGCACACATAAGTATGGTGGCCCTAAGGTGTAAATGAACAATATTTGAAAAAACTGAATTACATTAAGCCAAAGCGGAAGTGACCAAGGAGGAAGTGCCCAAAGCAGAAGTGGCCAGAATCACTTGAAATCATTTGGAAAAAACTGAATCACGTTTGAAAAAAAAAAAACGGAATCACATTTGAAAAAAAAAAAAACTGAATCACATTTGAAAAAAAAAAACAGAATCACATTTGAAAAAACGGAACCTCATTTGCAAAAAACGGAATTGCTTTTGAAAAAAACTGAATTACATTAAGCCAAAGCGGAAGTGGCCGAAATCCCATTTGAAAATAATGGAAATTGAAAAAAACGGGTTCACATTTGAAAAAAAATGGAATTACATTTTAAAACATAAACAGAAAAAAAAAATGGAATTACATTTAAAAAAAAAAAAAACAGAATCACATAAAAAAAAAGAAAATAATATTTTTAAAAATAAACTGAAAAAAAAAAAACGGAATTGCATTTGAAAAAAATGGAAATTGACAATAACGGAATTACATTTGAAAAAGCCCTGTGATGGACTTGCGCCCCATCCAGGGCGTACCCCGCCCCTCACACAGTGATTGCTGGACATGGGCACCAGCGACCCCCATGACCCAAAATGGAAGAAGTGGGTAAAAGATAAAGGATGGATGGATGGACATTTGAAAAAAACTTAATCACATTTAAGTTAAGTAATCAAATTGGAAAAAAAAACAGAAGCACATGTGAAAATACAGAATCACGTAAAAAACTGAATTACATTTGAAAAAAACAATTACATTAGAAAAAAACAGAAATTATATAATTTTTGAATGATTCAGTTTTTTCAAATGTGGTTCATTTACACCTCAGAGCCACCGTACATAAGGGTACTGAGAACCCCCCACAAATGTGTTCAGGCATTTTAGAGACTCCCTCATGAATAGAGTTTGTCAACCAGTCACCAGCAGCTGCTGCTCAATGTGATGATACATTTACAACAAAAATATGCAGACGTCTCTTCAAACGCTTTAACATAAGTCGTTTTGTTTTCAAGAAATATATATTATATTTAAATAGGATAAATAGAATGGTTTAGTGTTGGACAGAGGAGCTTCCTGAGTGCATCTTGCCTTTCACCCACTGACACTTGAGAAATGCTCCAGCCCCCACATGACCTTGAACAGGACGAAAACAGCCACAGAAAATGGCAGAATGAATGAATGTACAATTTACTTAAATATTTATTAGGTGAGCAGATATCATTTGTACAACTTTTAGTCAATAAAACATTGTAAAATGTACATCAAACTAAGTTGTAATAACATATTCACCCCTGACTGCTTGTTAACACCACATGTTAAAATTTTAGGGAAAATATAATAAATCCTATTTATAGATCCAACAACATATGCCCAACTTTCTCTTGACGTAACTTACAGGCTGTTGTGTTTTAGTGCATGTGTGTGTGTTTGTGTGTCTGTGTTACATGCTTTTGTATTCCCAAAGGATAAGCAAAGATTGCTGCTGCTGTTTGTCCTTATAAGGATTTCTGCCTGTGGAAGGAAGGATGGAGAAAAAGGAGAGAGTTAGAGACGAGATAGAAAGAGGTGCATTAAGTGAACAAACAGTTTTCCTTACCCCGTCTCACCTGTTCTTACTGTTTAAGATGAGATGACAACGGAGGAGGTAGAGGAACGAGTGAAGGAAAGGAATCGGAACAGGTGATGATTTGAAAGGGAAAAAAAGACGAGAAGTGAGGATGGATGGAAGGCAGTGATGATTTCAGGATGAAGTGGAAAGTGCGGAGAGATGGCAGAGAAATAGAGCGAGTGAAAGTGTGCAAAAAGAAGCAAGTCAGCAAGTTATGGAGGCTGCTAGAGGTGTGTAAACAAATACAGGTGAAACCAAGGTGAATCTGGAAGGATGGAAAAACGAGACCTACTTTGTCTGAGTGTGTGGTGATGTGTGTCTCCAGATGTTCATAAAACACACAAGCGCAGCTCAAAGGTTATCTAGTTTTATTTAGTACCTTATGTTCCGCTGTGCACGTCGCACTGTTCTATAAGTCGCATCAGTCCAATATGTCTAATAAAGTGGAAAAATCTATAAATACGTCGCTTTGCCATATACGTCACATCTCTTATGCATCACCGCTGACAACCTGGAAATGTGGGCCGGTGTTGTGCCAAAAATCAATGGGCTGCCAAATGGTGGCCATGGGAGCGTGCATGAAAGGACTTTAACAAGAATTTAACAAGATTAACACTTAAAAACATATATTTGTTAGCTCGACTTTATAGTAAAGGTGTGTCTCAGTTGAACTTTTACTTAATAAAAGCACTTTGACGGTCAAATTAGCTTGATTTAGCTGGTGCTGCGCAACAAAATCAAGCTGATTCGGTTGCTCCAAACAGATGACGGTGGCAGGTTAGGGCAAGCCGATTGGGTCATTAACAGCCACTGATACAACGGCATGCCATCTAGTGGCTGAAAATGGTATTGTTCCATTTTTTTCAGTCAGAATGAATGAAAACAGTGATATCTCAGCAAAAATTGGTTTATAAATATTGGAAGAAATCCACAAATACGTCGCTTCGGCCTATAAGTCACAGGGCATGCAAATTATGCACACACACACAAAAAAAAAATGCAACAAATACGGTATGTCTGATATTCTATGAGTTTCTTTTGATTTGCACAGAAATGAATGCCCATTACAACTAAAATGACAGAACTGAGGCCTGAATTTAAAACCAGAGAAGTGTCTTTTCTGTCATCATCCTTTAGGCCCATGCTTCTCCACAGCTGATCTGAACTGAGTAACACACCACTGCAACAGTTTTCATGTATCTGTTTGTTTTCGAAATGACAAATGACTTCTCTGCTTCTGTTTGCCCTCCTTATTTGCCTCCTTTTCTCCCTCGTTACTTTCCCCTCTCTTCCTTCTTGTCGCATGGCGCTTTCTCTTCCTCCCCTCGCTGCCCCATCCCTCTCTCAGCTGCTCCTCCCAGCTGTTTAATCACACATGGCTCATGCCTAAAGATGGGGGGGGGGGGGAGACAAATGGGAGGAGAGACGCAGAGAGCCAAAGAAAGAGTGGGTGACAGACTGAGAGGAAGAAAATGCGAGCAGTGGGTTGAGTGTGAGGCACATGGCCACTGAGTGAGAGACCTTTAGTTCTGGTTGGATTATTGCTGGGGAAGGACCTCATCTGGATACTCCTCCTCCTCTTCTTCTTCTCCCTCGCTCCTAGACTTCCCTTCCCTTTTGTGTTTCTTGAAGCCTCTTTCTAAAGGGGACTCCATCTTCCCCAAAGTTCTCACCTCTTGTTCTCTTTTCACCTCCCTCTCCCCTGCTTCCCCTTCAGGATGTCGTGTGAGGAGGCTCAGCTCCACAAAGAGAGGCTGCAGGCCCTGGCGGTGAGTCCACGTGTGTTTAAACTGTCTGCTTTCACTCCAAATCATCCATTCCCTCCTCCTTTTTTTAATGACCTTTAGTCTGTTTGTTTTACCGCCTGTCTGTTGAAACACATGAGCTCGTATGGCTGTCATGCACTGAACAATGTCTCACCTCAGAGTTCCTGCACTTCTGTCAGAATCTGCAACTTTTATCATTTTTCTCCGCTCCTGTTGCTTCTTTGCCGAATTATCAACTCCACCTCCACTGTCGTCCATTCAAATGATAGCTAAAAGACAGAAAATTCTGTTTTCGCTTCATGCCAAGGTGCATCGACAAATCAAGACAAATAAAGATGTCGACTAGAGGAATGAAACCCGATGTGCATGAGTGCAGCTTTAGGCTATAGAAAAGTTGGAACCATCTCAAAAGCAACTGACAGTACGCGATGACGATCTTTATTACCTTCCAGCATGTGAAGCAAAAGGCAACTCAAGACTGCAAATGCAGAAAAAAAATCAAAATAGTCTACATGCACGCCATTTTCCTGCATTATTAAGAAGAAAATCACTAGATGAATGTGTTGGAAGCCCTTCAGCGTGACGTCAGAGCCTCCTACACACATTTTCATCCCACAAAACAAAGTCATTTTTATGATCCACCACTTGTCAAGAACTTTAGCCTTTTGTCGAAAAGCTCACTTGTCTTGGTTGTTGTATATATATATTTTTTCATGCCACTTTTTCTGAAAAGGGTGTTTGTAAAACATCTGTTCTTCCCCTCCTCCCTCTGTGACCCCATGATATTTTTGAATGCTCACCGTTTTGTGGATGAGTTTGTCTCGGAGCTAATAGGACTTTGCAGCAACAGTTGCACCGGGTTTCGCTGCCCAGGACTAAAATTGGCGCCGGAGAGGAACCACAGCAAACCACACACACACCGAGGACGCACAGAGGCTGTGTGTGTATAGAAGGGGGAGTTGTTGTAGCAGCGACAGATGGAGAAAGTATTTTGGCCATGTTAAAAGATGGCAGCCATGCCAAGCTTCACGTACTCAAGGCATCTAAATAGAAAGTGAACGGAAAGTTCCCGTGGTATGAGCACACAAGCGTTGCTGCTTCTTGCGCAATTTTGTGTTTATCCTGATTATTGTACCGTGCAAATAAGTTTTGGTTTGGTGCACAAAGCCAAGAACAGTCTTCTCTGTACAAAGGATTGTAAATATTCTAGTTGCAGCCCTTGTCCAACTACAATAAAAGCCACAGACTTTAGCTGTTTTTTTAGGATAAGGGATTTTATTGTAAGTTTCAATAATGCTGTGCAAAATGTTATACCACTTCCAACTTTACTTTGCCTTTCTTGCAATGTTTGCATTTAATCCGAATCAGCAGTATTTCTTTAGACTTTGACTGCATTTTCACTCCCCAGTCTTTGTACCCGACTATAACACGTACAGTAGTCCCTCGCTACTTTGCGGTTCTTTTATCGCAGACTCGCTCTATCGCGGCTTTTCAAAATAAGATTGGACATGACACACAACTGGCTGAGTGATGGGTGAGCCGCACGATCGGCATGGAATGTTTTATTTAAAACAAATTGTTTTAAATTATTTAGCACCTCCTGCACCTTTGTGCAGCCCA